TTTTTTTTTTTTTTCTTTTGTGTTATTAGGAGAAAATAAAAATCTGTCTGAAACCACCTTCGAAAACGCAATGTTGAAGCCCATGTGTGAAACATTAACATATATTTCAAAGGATCAGCTATTGAGTCACAAGCTTCTTGCAAAACTGGGGACTGGCCCCAAAACAAACTTGCCAGAAAATCTTCAGACTTTGTTGAATACATTGGTCCCATTACTCCTCTTCAGAGCTAGGCCTGTGCAAATTGCTGTTTATCATATGCTCTACAAGTAAGAACTTTTCTAGTTGATTAAATATTGCAGTGTTGATACGTGTGTGTGTGTGTATGCATATATCTGTGTATGTATATACTTTGTATTTAAATCATTAAACACATTTAAAAATATAAAGGTCTGACTATTTTAATACAGGGATGCCAAGTTGTTTGATGTTCTAGGACATTTTTATTCTTTATCCAGTTTATATTTAGGTAGTCTAGCCATTTAGGTAATTATTAAAAAAGAAAAAAGAATCATTGAGTTTTATTTTATTTTTTTAAGTTTTATTTATAAGTATTAGTTTTTCTGCTCTTAAACATGTTTTAACAATGGATCATTTGATGTAACTTATTTAAATATCTTCTAATTCCAGATTGATGCCTGAATTACCACAATATGATCAGGATAATCTAAAATCATATGGAGATGAAGAAGAAGAACCAGCTTTGTGAGTTGTTGTTCTTTTTATAATTTGGTTTGTTAAATTCTGAAAATCTGCCTCACAGTGTGGTTTTTTTTTTTGGTGGAACCGGGTGTTGAACTCAGGCCCTTGCACTTGTCAGGCAAGCGCTTATTCTACTGAGCCATCTCCCCGGGCCCCTCACAGTGTATTTGGAAGACTGAAACAACATAGAAGCTTTAAGTTGAGAGTATATATTCATTTTACAAAGGACCCTTTTAAAGCTATCTGTGGCGTGAAACCTAGAGTTCACCCAAAAGATGGTGTCTCTTACTTGTTCCTCAGTTGTGTTTCAAGTTTGCTACTTTCACTAAACCCTGGCCACACAGCAGTTATGGAATCGGCGTATCAGTATGTGTGGAGTGTGTAGTGGTTACTCAGTGTTGAAGGGACAGTACACTGTTTAGTGAACACGTGCTTTTCCTTAAAGGATTTTACGGTCTAATGTATTTGCCGTAGTAGGAGATTCAGTGTATGGTAAGTGCTGGGAAAGTGAATGGATAGTGTGTTACGGGTTAATGTATGCCGAGAGGAGAGCACTTTCTCTTGAGGAAAAGAGATGTTAAACTCGCTGGTTAAGGTTAAGCTGAGGCAACATCTTAGCAAGATAGGAAAGGTAGTACAGTGCAAGTTAGGAAAACACCATGTTCAAAAGCACTGGGGCCTGAATGTTCAGGAGGAGTGTGGGGACTACCCAGTGTTGGCCACTTTTTAAAAAACTGTCAGTGTCTCCCTGAAGTGCAAGGACCTGAGTTCAATCCCTGGTTCTGTAAAAAAAAAAAAAAAAAAAGGTTTTTCTGCACTGGGATGTAAACTCTTTGAGGGCAGTTTTGTCAGGTGGTGGTTTCTGTCACTCATTCCTGATGATGTCCACAGCTCCCACAGTAGTTCCTGGCCTACAGCAAAGTCCTGCATAATAGGAATTGGGGTGTAATGGAAAATGAAGCTTGCAGAGTACTTAAGTGGCCTTAAAATGATATTTCTTTTTTTTTTTTTTTTTTTTTTTTTTTTTGTGGAACTGGGGATTGAACTCAGATCCTTGCATTTGCCAGTCAAGTGCTTATCCTACTGAGCCATCTCCCGAGCCCCAAAATGATATTTCTTTAAGGATTTTAGAAATTTAGTATGAGATAGGCACCACCAGCTAAGTCTGGCAATATGTATGAAGAGTGAATTATAGCAGGAAACACGCAGAAACAAGTGTGTGGGGTGTGCCTGTAAACTGGATGCTCTGGGAGGCTACAGCAGTAGGATTGCAAACTCGGCAACTTAGTAGGACCTTGTCTTGAAATAAAAAATGTACAAAATGACTTGGCAATGTGCCTCAGTGTGAAGGCTTCCAGTACCGCAGAGAGAGAGAAACAGGTGAACGCCATTCCTGATTTGAATGCCTGTGTGTTTGCACTGTGGGAAGTGGAGAGATTTCAAAGCAGGTATTTGTAAGATCTAGTGAACACTGATGTGGACTGGAGGAGGGTTGCTATGTGACATTAAGATGTTGACAATATGAGGGAAGAAGCTTGGAGGTCTGTGTGGGTGGGTGGGGAGAAGGAAGTCACAATGGAAAAAAGACAGTGGCGCTAAAAAGAGAGAGCCAGAACCTGGCGGGTGGTGCTGCCTGTAACACTGCTCAGGACGCTGAGGCAGGAGGATCAGCTTGAGTTGGAGTCCAGCCTGACTGCATAGCCAGACCCTGTCCCAAAAAAGAGAGGACCGTGTTAGAGTGTTAACATACAAGAAAATCTCAGAAATTTACCTGAAAGCATTAATGAGTTTTGTAGTTCTAGAGAACAAGAAAATTAGCTTCCATTGCTATGAATTAATGTGAGCGTCAAATTTCCTAAGAGATCCAGATGTATCATTGAAAACCTCATGATTATTTCCTGTGTTTACCGTTCTGATGAATTGTGGTGACTAGGGCATCTCTTACATTGCCCAGCGATAGACAGTATGGAGTAGAATAGACGAGGTGACAAAAATCTTCATCCTTGCTCTGCCTTTTATGATGTGATAAAAGACTTGGTAAGGTGGAAACTCTAGTTTTTCATTAGCTTCTGGACTAATCATCTGGCTGCCGTTGGCGGTTATATGATTTTTTTTTTGTTGTTGTTTTTTATTTATTCTTTTATGTATTTAGTACAGGGTCTACAGGGTCTCACTACAAAGATTGGACTTACAGGGATTCTCCTGTTTTCAGCCTCCCAAGCGCTGGGATTACAGGCACACGCCACCACTCCCAGTCTCAGTCACAGTCTTAGCACCTTGTGGCCAGCATGGTACATTAGGGACCGAATGCTGGCCGCTGCGCTCTGCCTAAGCAGGCATGTTAGTCCGCTGAGCTATCTGGCCGGCCCTGATTTGTTTTTAAACAAAAGATGAAATGGATGTTTTCTAAAAACATCCTCAAGTGTTGACATCTGTGGTCTGTATTTTAGTTTTTGTTTGAGACAACATGTCTTCTAGGCTGATCTTAAACACATGCTGACCCTCCTGCCTCAGCCTCCTGAGTGCTGGGATTACATGCGTGCGTCACCATGCCTGTCTGTGGTCCATATTTTCATAGCTGTCATAGTTTTGTTTATGTGCAATGAGTTAAAATTGGTTCTACAGAGGAGAACATTTTCCTTTTATGTTTTGGGAAGATAGAAAAGGATTTTTCTAAAATGAGTTCTAAAAATACTGTCAATTTGTTAGGGGACAAGTTATGCAAAAAATCATACTGTTGAATTATTTCTTTTTAGGTCACCACCATCCATACTGATGTCTCTTCTGGGCACTCAAGAGGATTTACTAGAAAACATTTTGGGGTGTATTCCTGTGGGACAGATAGTCACTATTAAACCACTGAGTGAAGACTTCTGTTATGTTCTGGGATATCTTCTTACTTGGAAGTTAATCCTTACTTTCTTCAAAGCTGCTTCATCTCAGGTAAATATGTAAATATATTTCTTTTTTGCAGTACTCGGGATTGAACCTAGATGACAACTGTTAAAAGTTCTTTTTTATTTTTGTGGTACCGGGGATTGAACTCAGGACCCTGTGCTTGCCAGGCAAGCACTTATTCTACTGAGCTATCTCCCTGGCCCACCTGTTGATAGTTCTATCCTAACATGCTGTGTTTTTACTTCACCTTACTTTTGAATGAAAGATTTGCCTTGTGTTTTAATTAATGTTTTCCAGTTAACCTCAGCCATGCTATTATTCTTACTTAATATGTTTCAAAGACATTCCTCTGAAACAGATTTTTTTTTTTTATCTCAGTGCCTTCACACTGAGCTACATCCCCAGCTCTTTTGTCTACATCCCCAGCCTAATTCAAGGTATTATTTGTAAATGGTGAAAATAGTGAGGTGTGATTATTTTGCTGAAATTATTCTAGCAGCCACTAGATGTCACTGTTGTCTCATGTTGGAAGACAATTGTGAAGGAAGAAACAGGAAAAACCTCTGTAGCTTTTATTTGTTTTAGAAAGTTTCCCCCTTTTATAAAACTATCAAACTTTGACAGAATCAGCCTTGTAGTAAATATGTCCTCTGGCATGTCAGCATAAAAAGATTTTATCATTTCATAGTGATCAACTATTCACAGTCTTTTCCAACATAATGCTTCAGAATTCGTAAATTAGACTTTGTTATTGCTCAAACCCATACCTTGTACAGACACATCAGATACGTCAGTCTGTACATCTTTGTGTTTGTGGCTATGAGGGGAAGATGAAAAACAGCAACATTGATCTCGTTGCTAAATAGATTCATTCTGTAGTCTTGTCATTTGCATTTGTGACTCAAGTTAAAGTTACTTGCCATTGATGTGTTTCAAAAGTTCCGTGATGGACTTTTCCATTTGTTTCTTAAAATACTGTTGATAGGTTTTTGAAAAGTGTATCAGATTGAGGCTTCTGATAAGAAATTTGTTTCTATCATCTTCTATTTAGAAATTAGGAAAATGGCCATGTGTTCTCTTTTTTCATTGTTAAGACTAAGGGAGGAATTCAAAGAATTACATAGTAGCATTTATTATTGAGCCTGAAACTTGGACTCAGCTATAACTACAAAGAGCAGAAAACATTAAATAATACTAATTAGCTGAATGTTGAATGAAAATCGTAAAAAACAAAACAAAACTAGTTGATCTTGAATCATGGGATTTTTTTTTTAAACTTCTCAGAAAAATCCCTACTAAATGGAATTGAACAGGAGAAAGCTATCTCTCCCTTGTGCCCCCCCATGCCTTGTTCTGTGTTTTATGGCTTTATTGAGGTGTATTTCACACTGTAAAGCTTACACATTTACTGTTTCATGTTTTTAGTATATTTAAAGAGTCGTGCACCTATTCCCACACGTAGTATTAGAACATTTTCAGTACCTCAGCATCCTGAAAGCAAGCTTGTACTGTCTGTAATCACTTCTCCTTTCCTCTCAACCCTCCAGCTGCCTGGAGCCTGTAATCCATCTCTCTGCAGCATGCCTGTTGTTGGCTTTCCCTGCACTTGGTCATTTGTATCTGACTCACTTCACGTAGCACACAGCATTCTCAAGCCGTTGGTGTGTGGTGTGTATCACGACTGGCTTTCTGTTTATGCCTGGAAAGTAGTCCCTTGTGTGGATGTTCTGCATTTTGTTCATTTGTGACGGGACTATTAGGTTGTTTCTCTCTCCTTCTTTGGGCTGTTGTGACTAATGCTGCTGTGAGCATGTGGGAACAGATTGTTTTTGTGTGTGAGTACACATTTTCTATCCCTGAGCATGGGCCATATTCATGTGTTTTTTTCTTTTTTTTTTAAAGCCATAACATGGCTGATTAAATTTTTTTTAAGTGTTTTTCTTCCAACTTTTTATTTTGAAAAATAAAATTATAGAGGAATTAGAAAAAGAATTCAATAAAACATCATATACCTTTTTTTTTTTTTTTTTGGCGGAACCAGGGATTGAACTCAGGCCTTGTGCTTGCCAGGGAAGCACTTACTCCACTGAGCCATCTCCCTGGCCCCCCATATGCCTTTTAGGTTCATATGTGTTAAGCATTTGTCGCCTTTGCTCTATATTCACTTTTTTCCTGCTTAACCATTTGAAAGTTAGTTGTAAACATGATGATGCTTTACTAAAAGTATTATTAAAAAGTATGTGTCACCTAAGAACAAGGTTGTGTTTCTACATAAGCATCATACCAAGAAGCCTAATTTTGATGCACTAGTAAGTGATTTATATTTATATTTTTCTCACTGTCCTGATAATGTCCTTTGTAGTTTTCTTTCTCTGTTGAAACTTTTATGATCATACTTGCATTTGTCTGTCAGATTTCTCTATTTATTATAGCCTTGCTATAATTCCCCCATTTCATTCTTGTCACTCTTTTGTGCAGCTGTTTTATAGCCTGTCATACATCTTACTGCTTCCTGCTGATTGTATTCTGGTTAATGTTCAGCAGGAGTATTTAATCAAGTTATGATTTATCCTCAGTGAAGCACATAATGTTAGTGTGTTCTATTGTTAGTGTTAAGCTTGGTTACTTAGTAAGGGTGGTGTTCCAAGAATTCTCTATTATAAGGATATTTTCATCAACATGTTTTAAGAAAAATCCTGTAGCTTGATGCTCCCCCCCCCCCCAAAGTATTTAGTAAAGGGTCTACAGGGTCTTACAACACAGATCGGACTCCTAGTGATCCTCCTGTTTTCAGCCTCCCAAGCACTGGGATTACAGGTGTGCGCCACCACACCTACTCTCTGTTGTCTCAATGCGCCCAGAGGGGCAGGGCTGGCAGGCATGCAGGAGATCAAATCCCAGTCCCTGGGTCTACCTAAAGAGGTGCTTTAATCCGCTGAGCTATCTGGCAGACCTGAGCTTGATGCTTTTGTTTAAGTAGTCATAGTGTTCAAAAAATGGTATCTTTGTATTATGAGATATATAGTATAGTGGAAGAACAGCTAAAACTCGAAAATTGCAAAATAAATGAAAAATGCACACTTACTGAGGAACAACGAGTTGTAAAGCACAGTGTGACACAGATGCTACTATCCTCGCTCCCACAGAGTGGCCAGATTGTCCCACTTTTAAAAGAGAAACCAGAAATCCGTATTTTTTTTTTAGAAATCCATATGAAAGTTATATGAAAGTTTCTGATTGGTAAAACAGTTGGGGGATATGCTAAGACCATTTTGACCACTTCCTACTTTTTGCGTTCTGTCCTGAAAGGATGCTGCAGTGTTTGACATAAGATAAGGTAAACTTTGAGAATGGGATTTTTTTCACTCAAGAATTTGCAAGGTTAGGGAGTTGTGAGGGAGGAGAGTGAGCTAGGTTCTCTGGGGAACGGGGAATAGATTTTCTTGGCTCAAACAGACAGTGCCAACTCGAGGTGAGCGTATTAACAAGGAGACAATTTGAAAAAGATGTTAGAAGCATCCGTCCACTAATGAGGGAGAAGACAGTGAGAATGTTAGGTATTTGTGAGGACAGGAGCCAGTACTGAATTGTTGGGCACATTTGGAAAGTAGGAATGGTTCATGTATTTTGTAGCACTCTTGTACGTCTTCAGAGTAATACAGTTATTATTGGTGTTCTTATACAGTTGCTCATACTTTGATTGGCTCTTTTGTTTTATTTTTGATTTTTGGCTTTTTTTTTGAGACAGGGTCTCACTATGTAATGCAGGTTGGCCTTGAATTCCCTTATGTATTCCAGGCTGGTCTTAAACTCACAGTGATCCTCCTGCCTCAGCCTACTAAGTCTGGGATTATAGGCCACCACACATGGCTGATTCTTTTGATTTCATTGAGCTAACAAAGCTTTTGCTCTCCACCAGCTTCGGGCTCTGTATTCAATGTACCTTAGGAAAACAAAGAGCTTGAGCAAATTACTTTATCACCTGTTCAGGCTTATGCCAGAAAACCCAAGCTATGGAGAGGCAGCTCTTGAGATCTCAAGTAAGGACTCCAAAACATTCTTCACTGAGGAGCTCCAGCTGAGTATTCGAGGTCAGTAAGAAGCATGTTTATCCTTCCTGCTATTTATGTTCAGAGTAAGTTGTGCTAAACTTTTCCCTGGGCATTTGGAGTGTAATCGCAAATGTGAGTCCTAGCTATGAGGACATTGAAGTACAAACTTTTCTAAATTTCTTTAAATTGGACAGATAATTAGATCATGTAGATAAAACTATGGAGAATTTAATACATTTGAAAGCTTATTGTATTGAGATTATCTTGCACTCTATGAAAGAGTATTGGTTGTGTGCTAACATTTTTGTAGCCATGTAAATAAGTAGTCTCTAATTAGGGAAACAAATGAATAAAATTTGAATCTTTCATCTTGAGAGCTCAAATTTTAGCTGTGAAGATATACATGCAGTTCGCTATACTCTACTAAGAATATATATGTTTAAATGCCTTACGAGATCTTAGGATAGAGTGTGTCTTGGGTAATTATTCTGGGACTTTTGGATAGTAGCTTTGTGAGTTCTAGGCCAAGTAATTGAGGTCAGCCTCCTTTTTCGTAGCTGTAAACTTTTTCCTCCTTTTAAAAAATATAGATCCTGGGGCTGGAGAGATGGCTCAGTGGTCTAAAGCACCTACTTAGAACAAGCTTAGCAAAGCATCAGGGACCGCGGTTCGATCCCCTAGCACCACATGCCAGCCAGCTCCGCCCCCTGGTGGGCTGAGCTGGCCACACACACACACCTCTCTCTCTCTCTCTCTCTCTCTCTCTCTCTCTCTCTCTCATAAATAAATAAATAAATAAATAAATAAAATTTAAAAAAAATATAGATCCTCATGCCTTTCCATACTTGCCCTTAAGGCATTCTAAGGCAGCCAAAAAAAAAAAAAAAAATCCTTCTGAACTTTTTAAAAAAAGTGAAGTGAGGGGCCAGGGAAATAGCTCAGTTGAATAAGCACTTCCCTGGCAAGCTCAAGGGCCTGAGTTCAATCCCCCATACCGCAAGAAAAAAAAAGTATGTCTGTATTCATTATCTTTCATGTAAGAGAATGTGAGTTCTCAGCAGAATTGTTTGTGTCACGAGATTTTCACTCACTTTTGCTAATCTCATGGTTCAGTTTGAATATGTGGGTGATAAAATAAGAGCCATATTTCTGTGGCATGTTGTGTGAGCTACAGCATTGTTATTGAGCAATAAAGATAACTTTCTGAGGAAAATGCTAGTAGTAGTCTGTCATTCTAAGTTAGTGTATGTCACTCACTAAGAATTTGGTTTTTTCTCAGAAACATCAACTCTTCCATATCACATTCCACACTTGGCTTGTTCAGTCTATCATATGACATTAAAAGATTTGCCTGCCATGGTGAGGCTGTGGTGGAATAGCAGTGAGAAGCGTGTCTTCAATATTGTGGATAGGTTTACAAGCAAGTATGTCAGCAGTGTCCTTTCTTTTCAAGAAATATCTTCTGTGCAAACAAGTACCCAGCTATTTAATGGCATGACGGTTAGTATTGTCTTGACTTTTTCTAAGAGTTATTCAAACATTGATTAAGTCTCACTGTCATTGTAATTGCAGACTTGTTGCCCTTGTTTGAGAATTATAGAAATCCGTCTATTTTATTTTCTGATTCTTGTGTGATGAGAAAGACACGGTGGAGCAGTGATATTTAGTGCTCTTAGTGTCCTTTGTTTGTTCAAAAACTAACCCATGACTGTGACAAGCTGTATATGTTAAGCTGCATTTTTATAAGTGTTTGTTTTAAAAGTCACAAATCACATAAAACATGCCAAGTATTTAAAGCTGTTTAATAAATGTCTTATGTTTACCTCTGTTTTCCTATTATGAGGCTGCTAGCTGCTCACTTATCAAACTGTGTTTTGAATGAAAGGAAGGAATTTGAGAAAATTTCCTGTCTTCTGTTGAAGGTTAAAGCTCGAGCCACTACTCGAGAAGTAATGGCTACTTATACTATTGAGGACATTGTCATTGAACTTATAATACAGCTGCCTTCAAATTATCCGCTGGGATCAATATCAGTGGAGAGTGGGAAGAGAGTTGGCGTGGCCGTCCAGCAGTGGCGGAACTGGATGCTGCAGTTAAGCACTTACCTCACCCACCAGGTACATTTAGCTTTCTGAACTGGCAAAAGTATTGGAACACAGACTGTGTCTTCTGCTTACGACAGAAATAGAGTAAAAGAAAATTCTTCTATAAATATCTTGTGTTGGCTGGGGAGATGGCTCAGTAGAATAAGTAAGGGCCTGAGTTCAGTCCCCAGTTCTGCCCTCCCCAAAAATAAATTTAAAAAAAATTAAAAAAGAAATATCATGTGTCTGACTGGCACCTGTCTCTTTAAAATTCAAGGCTTTATAATTTCTAGTGTTTGAGAGGGTTTAGCTTTATTTCATTAACATTGTAGAAAATGTAGATGAAGTACAGTATAATAAGGAACTTATTTAAAAGAAAATCCTGAGGGAGATAGTGAACTAATTAATACTTTCTGAGCTCTACTCTGACATGTCAACTCTCCTTGGATTAGAAAACTTCCAGTGCTCTTGATTTTCAGCCTTTAAATAAATCATAAGCCTTCTTCAGTGGTGTTTGTAAATTATGACATCATTGACATTCTACAGGAAATAAAAGATCATTTTAAAACAAATATCTCCACCAGTATTGTGGAGGTGAAACAAATCAAAAGGTAAGAGAGGCTAGTGTGGCGGGCATGATAACAGGTCCAGAAGGTGAGCTCATGGATGCAGTGGCCCTTGCCTTGGCTGAGCATTGCCCTGAGTGGTCTGCCAGGGTGATGGCGCTCCTCAGTGGTGCGTGGGAGGTCCAGGGCAGAGCTGGGAGCTGGCTGTGGAGGTAGACTGCACTCACCTTTCAGTTTTATGTATGTTCTAAAATGGTTTTCATCCACCTTGAATGGATATCCAAAGAAACCTTTGAATTCATACGTTTGATTTGCTAAAGAAAAGATGAACATAATTTTTTAAAAATTTTATTGAGAAAGAGCAATGAGATAGTTTCAAAATAGGTTAGTAGGACATTCACAATAATTAATACATTGCATCTGTTGTCTTCATAGTACAAGATGCAAACATGATATCTTGTCTAAATACTATTAGTACAGATCTCATTGAACTAAGAGAAAGTAACTGTATATCTATTTGAACTATTTTATACACACACACACACACACACACACACACACACACATATATATATATATATATTTTTTTTTTTTTTCCCTTCCTCAATACAACATGGTCCTTCATTTATATCTCCCTTTTCTGTTTAGTCTTGTCAGAGAAGGGTATTCTTTTTTTTTCCTTTTTTCTTGTGGTACCAGGGATTGAACTCAGGACCTCATGCTTGCCAAACAAGCACTTATTCTACTGAGCTATCTCCCTGACCCAGGGTATTCCATTGCCATTCAAATATTGTAGGTACATGAATTCAGCAAAGCAATCAAATACATAGTCCAGTAGTTCATAATAGTAGTGGGTTATCTGCAGAACTGGAAAAGTCAGAAGTTGTTGAATTGAGCCTTTTACAGCTTAGCATAATAATATGGCTTTACTTTGTATACCTCGTGTATCTGACAAGGTCAGTCAAATCCCCTCAGGATTTACCCTGAGACCCTGTATAGCAGTTTGTAGATCCTTTGTCAGTGTCAGCCATCTGGATGAGTCATGGCCATTGCTTGACCAATTTGCTCCCTGTGAAAGCCTGAGAGAATGTTTTCTCTCTAGGTGACTCTCCTTAGGCACACTTTACACTTTTGATCACTTTCCTCTGTGGCCCCATAATCTCCTTGATCAGAAAATTTGGGACACCACTGAGTTACAGGATATTACAGTACAGGTTCTCTTATGTCCTGAGTCCTCACTGACTATGAAGGGCTAGGGCCAAAACATTGGCTATCCTTATAGTCCTTTTTCTCTGATTTTTTGGTCTGTAAACTTAAGTTGTTAACCTTCCAGAAGAGAAGCTTAATGATGTTATTACCCTACCACATAGGCAGTTGAGCATAATTAAAGCTCAGAACCCAGATATAAAAGTTACAGAATTAATGAAAATATTGCATAGCAATGGAAGGAACTTCCTGATATAGAGAAAAAAAGCATATGAAGATGCTTACAAGATAGAATTGAAGGCATGCCAAGAAGAGATGAAGAGAATTCATGAAGCACTAACTCCAGCTCAGAAAGCATCTTTTGCAGAAAATAAAACACAAAAACGTTTAAAAAGGAAAGAAGTAATAAAGAAAGAGTTATCAATGCTTGGAAAACACAAAAAAGCTCACAGAGCTTATAACATTTTTCTATGTGAGTCTATTCAGTCCTCTTATAGTGCTACGATACAGGATAAAGGGAAGTCTACATATGAAAACTGGAAACATGTCTAGTTCTCAGAAGCAGGTATATGAACAACTTGCCCATGATGATACAGTTTTTGTTATTATAATGAAATAAAATCTTGGGAAGAACAGAAGATTGAAGTTGGACGAAGTGACGCTGCACATCACGAGACCTCTCTCCAGAAGAGGCGGATGAAGGAAAAAGCAGACTGAGTGTGCTCCCAGTGGACAGGCACAGGAACCAGTTAGGTCCCAGTATCAGACAGTGCTGTAAAATTAGTAAGAATAATGTTGGCAAACATTTGAATTCAATTACTTTTTCTTTGTCTCCTGGCCTGCTGCCACTTGAAGGTACTTTGTGGTAGTAGTTTGAAAACCCAAACTGATGAAAGTTTGTGCAGAGTTTTATTTTGTGTTTAAGATATACTGGGGATCAGAATAATTCAAGCAAATGTAGCAGTGAATCATTTATCTTTAATAAGGTAAATCAGTCTAAAGTTTTTTATCCTGAAAGACAGTTATGAAAATAGTATTCTTGTTTCTTTTTTTGCATTTCTTTTTTTCTAATTTCATTTTTTAATTCATTTTAATGAGAAAAAAAGATAAGATAGCAATGAAACAGTTTCTAAACAGGTCAGTAGGATGGTTACAATAATACATTGCATATTATTGTCTTCATAGTAGTTACTGAGAGGACAAGATGCAGGCATGATATCTGGTCTATATATTAGTATAAACTTTTATTCTCAATGAAGTAAGAGAAAATAGCTATACATCTATCCTACTCTCTTGTGTATACATATGTATATTTTCTCTTTTTTTTTCACAACAAAGTGGTCCTTTATTTATACTTTTGTGAAGTTAGTAACACAAGACACTAGATTGCCTAGCAACTGATAGCTAATCTTAACCAGACAGGATGTTCATCTCAGGAGTGAGGTAGCTTGTTTGCTTTAGGCACTGGGCCAAGTCCCATCTGTACATATTTGATTGATTTCCTAGCTTCGTAGCTACCTAGGATTTTTTAAAAAATATTTTTATTGAGAAGCAAATAGCAATGAGAAAGTTTCACAACCGATTACTAGTACATTTTCAATAATCAATACATTGCATATTGTTGTCTTAGTGGTTATTTATTGTACAAGAAGTATTCTTGTTTCTTATATGGTGGAGGCAGGAGTTTCTTTTCAAAACAGTCACAAACTGTGGGAGCTACAGTGTTCTGAGATACAGTGGAGCCAGAACCCTGTGTGAGGGTGCATGTTACCAACCAGCACATAGGAGGCTGAGGCAGAATTGACACCAGCTTGAGGCCAGCCTGGGCTACACAACGAGTTCAAGGCCAGCTTGAGATGCAAAGGGAGACCCTATCTCAGTAGAAAAGAGCCTGACTCTTAGGTAAATCCTAATTCTTAGATATAAGTCATAGTATTTAGAATTGATGGTTGTATATGCAAGTGGTTGTTCGGTAATAACTTTTTATAAAATGGATGGAGAGATTTAAAACCCTTTTTCTCATCATTTTCCTAAAGTACAATTATGTACCAATAAGTATGCATATTGGTTTAGTTTGCATAAAATAAAAATTTTAATGCTTAAAAAAAAGATTTTTATTAAAGAAACTGAAACTGTAGTACTTGAAATATCAGCCCAGAAACTGTTACTGGAGAAGAATTACATCAGTTCCTTTGAACATTAATTTAAAAAGGCAACACTTATAAAACTTAAGAGATATAAATATGACCAAGCAGATTATCTTACAATTCAGATTTAAAATTTGTGAAAGTAGGTAGTGAATCTTTTACTTTTCTTTTTGTTAACAGAATGGAAGTATTATGGAAGGCTTAGCCTTATGGAAAAATAATGTAGACAAACGTTTTGAGGGTGTTGAAGACTGCATGATCTGTTTTTCAGTCATTCATGGTTTCAACTATTCTCTCCCCAAAAAAGCCTGTAGAACATGCAAGAAAAAGTTCCATTCAGCTTGCTTGGTAAGTTTAAAAAGAAACGAACTGCCTAATGTTTTTTGTATTTTGTGTCTATAAAATGCTTTGGAGGGCTGGTGAGATGGCTCAGTAGAATAAGTGCTTGCCTGGCAAGCACAAAGGCCTGAGTTCAATCCCCAGTTCCACCCACCAAAAAAAAAAAAAAAAAAAAAAGCTTTGGAAAAGAAAACATTTGGTATTCTTAATTTCTTAGTTGTAGTTAATGGGAGACATTGGACAGTAAACTTTTAAGATATTTAAAAGATAACTAGTATTTTACTGAGACCGGTAGCATCAAATAAATAGATGAGACCGGTAGCACTTTAATAAATAGATATTTCTAGGGCTGGCAAGGTAGCTCAGCAGACTAAGCGCCTGCCTAGGCAAGCACAGGGGCTAGGGTTCAATCCCCGGCACCACATGCTGCTCCAGCCCTGCCACCGGGTGCACTGAGCCAGCAACTGAGTCTGAGCATGGTGTTGCGTACCTGTAACCCCAGTGCTGGGGAGGCTGAAAACAGGATCACTACGAGTTCGAATTGCATAGTGAGACCCTGCACAAAATAGTAGTAATAAAAAAACCCCTAAAAAATAATATTAAATAGATGCTTCTAGTAGACCTGACAGCCCTTAAAGAATAGATGCTCTTGTGAGATCCAGACCAAGAAAGAGACCACAGATCCAATAGCAGGACCATCTCACCTCCGTGCGCTTTGCTCTTTTTAAATATCAAATGCAAAAGGATATTGCTCTGTGTTTGCTTGCTTCAGAAAGTCTTGTACCATAGTGATCTTTGGCACAAATATAGGTAGAAAGAATCATGGTATAGTTTTTTTTTTTTTTTTTTTAGTACAGGGTCTACAGAGTCTCACTACACAGATTGGACTTGTAGTGATTCTCCTAGTTTCAGCCTCCCAAGCGCTGGAATTACAGATGTGCACCACCATGCCTGGACTCTTGTCACTGTCTTGATGTGCCCCAGGGGCGGGGCCTGCATGGCTTGTGGAGGATTGAATACCAGGCTCTGCCTCTGTCTAAGCAGGCACTTTAATCCACTGAGCTGTCTGGCTGGCCCTAGTTGTGGTAGTCTTTACAAGTACTACTTAGTCATATTTATTTTGAAGATACACGAAGATGCAAAAATGTTAGTGTTCTTCCTGTTTCATTTATCATGTACTTTAGAGAAGTATGAGGTATAGCTTTAAGGAATTCTTTTAACATTTAAAACCTTTTCTTTTTCAGTACAAATGGTTCACCTCTAGCAACAAATCCACTTGTCCACTCTGTCGCGAGACCTTTTTCTGAGATTTTTTTTCATTGGAAGTAATCCCTGAAATAAATTAAGCCAAGGCATTGATTGGATTTGGATCCATCTTACAGTTGTTGCTGTGAAGAAGCCAGTGACCATTACCTTTAAATAGGACCTTCTTGGAAAATTATTTTGGTTAATGTAATGATCTTAAAAATCAAGTTTATCTATCTTCAGATTGCTTTGTAAATGTTTGGAAACATTTTCTTTTACAAAAGAATATTACATATTTGAGAGAAGTATTTATATTAATGGTTTAATCCCTTTGTATATTTAAAAGTAAATATGAAAAACTAAATTATAGAATTGAAATTTGCAAAAATACTGTACTTATAAATTTATCATTTGTTGATCTGCTTTCTTGAACAGTCCAAGTGTGAGGCAGGGAATTGCGAAAGTTGAACATCTACAGATACTTTAAGGCTTATGTATTAGTTATAACTGCAAAATGAGTTGTGTTCTGATTTCTGTAGATTATTTTAATGATTAAAAAATGACACTAACCTATCAGTGTAGCTTATCTAAGCTCTTTGAAGCATGCTCTGAAATCCTATATTCAAGAATGTAAACTGAACTTTTAAGGTGCCTCCATTTATTAAGGGTTATGAAATTCAGAAAATTAAATTTATGATATTGACCTCTTGCTTGTGGAGAAATTATTTCCATGCATTAGTGAAATTGAAGTTGTGACTTAGTTTATTGCTCAGTCCGAGTCTTCATGTAGTGGGCATTTAAGAAACTACAGTAAATTGATTGTTTAATAAATACTACTGAAACTTAAGGATTGATAGAAAAATCAGCATTTAAAAACACTGTAAGAGGCTTTTCAATTTTGTCAGAAAATTTTATTACTAGCCAAAGTCACACTAGATAAGGGACTTGCCAGAGCTAATATTCTCTAGCTTTTATAAAATGTAAACGTAAGGATTGTATTACTAAGTGAAATTAGTATAAGAAGCTCAAGAATATGAGTAGGTAAGAACCTGCCTGGGACAATGCCTAGATCTAGCACCCTTAAAAATTGTGCCCAAAATAGAAAAGCATGGAAGTTTGGAACCTAGAATGATTTTATTACCATCTTCCATTTCATGGGAAGTAGCATTATCTAATAGCTTACTTAGGAGGTCACCTGCTCATCTGTGTTGCAAATGCTTAATGGGCACAGAGCAACTCGTGTTAAACAAAATTATTGCTTACTACCAACTGGGTAAAATGACTATTATTGAATTAGTATGAATGTGATCAGAAGATTTTAGTTGAAAGTGAAATATTATGTGCAAGTTATAGATCTTTTGAGTTGTTTTTGTAGGTGAGGTGCCCTGTCCACTTCTCTTAAATTTTTCTGGGAAATATTGATTATCTTCTAGTCTTGAGGCCCAAAGAGTCAGTAAATGAAGTCCATAGAGCAAAATTCTACTACCTCTTCTTAGCCCTTTCCTTAAAATACTCTCTATGTCTCTGACATAGTGATCCCAAAGGATTGTGTTGTTCCCTTTTGAAAATTACATATTTCACCATTAAAAGAGGTTTTATAGTGAAACTTCATTTATAATCTTTCCAAATATTGGTACTTCTTGGCTTCTGATTCAAACCTCAATTAGAAAAGAAAAGGAAATAATAGAGCATTGTTTTTCCATGTAAAATAGGGCATCAGGTTCTTGATGAAACACTGTAATTATAAGTAACTACTCTTCATACCTAGGACTCTTAATACATTTCTTTAAGACTTGTAAGTATAATTGTAAAGCTTGTTACTGTTTATATGCTAAAGAAAAAGCTTTCTAAAATAAGACTGAAATTCACCATATCACATTAAAGCTTTATTTATCTAGCTTTAATAACTCTAAAGGGTAGCAGAACTTCAGATTTTAGCATAAGATATTTAAAACTGCATGAGATTTAAAGCTCATTATAAAATTAATTTAAAACCCCAAAGTAAATTGCAATTTCTTATCTCATGCAGTAATGTATGTACATATGTTCCTGAGGCTTAAATATGTTGTTACTTAATACTTTTTTGTTGTCAATGTTATTTTTTATTGTTATGCCATATGTGACCATTAAAATTCATTTCATTACAAAATACTTCAAATATGCAAAAAATACAAATTCCCTTGTTACTCTTTATCATATTTTGCCATTTTGCTTCTGATTTTTAAAGAAATAAAATGTTGCTCTTTTGTACTCTTCCTTGGTGCCTTCTCCTCTTTCCCTCCCTAGAGCTGACATATTATTCAGAAGGTGCGGGTGATGCCTTTCTGTTCGTTTTTTAGTTGCTATATCTTACTGATGTAATCTTGTGTAATCTTCTTCCCTTAGCTACTGTTTAGTACCATCCATGTTTACCAGTTTATTTACCAGCTTCCCACTAATGTTCACTTTACTTGGTGCCACTTTGAACAGCATGCACATGTACATTCTTTTTTTTTTTTTTTTTGCGGAACTGGGGATTGAACTCAGATCCTTGCATTTGCCAGTCAAGCGCTTATATTACTGAGCCACCTCCCCGGCCCCACATGTACATTCTTTATCGTTCTTCCTTATGCAAATGTGGTATTCTGGATACATGGCAAAAAAGGTGGACTCTCAGGTAGCAGCATAATTATATTCTGTGGATTTAGGTTTCACATTACTTTCCAAAGTGGTGTACAAGTTTGCAATCTCAGCAACAGTATGAGATAATTCTGATTTTCCTGCCAAAACTTAGTTGTCTGAGAACTTACAAATTTTCCACTTGGAGAATTATGAAATACTAGTTGTTTTAAGATACATTTCCTCGATTACCAAGAAATGTAGCTTCATTGATATTTATTCATTATTTCATGAATTTGATGTCAGTACATCTGTATTTTTTTTTTCTATGTGGCTACTTGTATTCTTACTGATCATAATGCTTTCTTCTTCATAGGACTTGTCTTAGTTACTTTTCAGTAGATGCTGGAAAAAAAATAACCAACTCTCAAAATTAGGAAAAGAAGGGTTTATTTAGCTCACAGTTTTTGGAGGTTCCTGTCTATACTCAGCTGATAGAGGGCAATAGTTTGTGTTGGCAGACAACAGCAAAAGCAGCAGGAGCAAAAGGGGTTAGCAGAAAAAGCAAGCCTCTTTCCCTCATGTCGTATGCAGGCTACCTGCCCTGGGACGGGTATAGCACTCCATAATCCCAGCATTGGACCATGTATCCGTCACACACTCTAGAGGCAATCATCTGAAAAGCTGGCCCCCATGACTGTGTGAAGCTTTGGAAGGACAACCAGACACAAACTGTAATAGACCTTTAGTTACAGCTTGGCTTTGATGGTCTATGGCTGTCTTTGTTACAGCATTTTTTAGTTTAATCACATTGATCATCCCTTTGAGTCTTTTGTCAGGTTTTAAAAATGTGTGTTATTCCTCTGAGATGTAAAAATAAACTTGCATATTTTGTCCTAGAAGTTTTAAATTTCAAAATGTGCACAATTTACTGGGAGTTCACTTTTGTGACAGTTATGGAGTAGAATTCTCATTCTGTATTGATAGCCAGTTTTCTCAGCATTATTAAATACTGTACTCATTTCCCATTGAATTTGTAGTGTTTCCCACCTCATTTTATTAAATCTTCATGTATGTGTGGATTTCTGGGTTTTACTGTCTTCCACTGATCTATTTATCTGTTGTACTTTTTTTTTTCTTTTTTTTTGGCGGAACTGGAGATTGAACTCAGGCCCTTGCACTTGCTAGGGAAGCACTTATTCCACTGAGCCATCTCCCTGGCCATATTTATCTGTTCTGATTCTATTTTTTTTCTTTTGAAGATATCTTTATTAAAAGCCACGTGCAGTTTTCTTTTTTTAAAAATTTTTATGTTTTTTTTTTTTTCACGTGCAGTTTTCTAATCTTGTTCTTTAAGACTTCCTGAAATTATAGAGTGGTGTATCTTTTGAGTTAAGAACCTCTCCTTCCGTATGTTCAATGTAGCAGTCGATTGGTTCTATAAGATGGGTCATTATTATGCCTTATATCTATGTGTCTCCCCAAAGCCTCATGAAGTCAGAGGTAGGACTTTTCATAGGTGGCTAGGTCCTAGGGATGTGAAGCTAGGACCAAGGATATGAGGCTGGGATTGATGTGTGGTGGGAGGCTAGGATTAAGGGTGTGAGTGCTACCTGCCTTAAGAATGGGTAGCCTGGATAAAATAGAAAGAGGGCCGTGTTGCTTGCTGCTTGTTACTTCTGCTGTCTTCTGCCTGCTGTGAACTGTTTCTCCTCTGTTTTCTCTCTGCCTTGCCCCCTCCCCGCAAAACGGGCAGACTGAAATGAATCCTCTACAAACTATATAAGATAATAAACCTTTCTTCCGTTAACTTTAGGTGTGATAACTTGTCTCTGTGACAAGAAAAGTAACTAAGAAACAGAACCTGATACCAAAGAAGTAGGTTCACTGACATAACTGTACCTGACCATGTAGTTCAGGAGCCTTTGTAACTGGTTTGTGGGAATAGTTTGGAAAGGTCTGGAGATGCTGGCTGAAGAAGCAGCCCTGCAATGCCTTATGCTGATCAGAGATTGTGGTCAGAGCTCAGAGGACCAGAATGCTCACAGAAATTCTGCCAGTAGCAAATAGACTTAGGAGGTTACTACAGGGAAGGGCTGCATTAGTTGTTAGACTGCAAACAATGTGTGTTATGCCTTGGCAAAGAGTTTGTACTTCACTCATGTCTAGAGACTTTGCCTGAGACTAATCTTGCAAAAGAAATTTCAAGGCAGTCTAAGGTTGAGGCAATGGCCTGGCCACTGTTGGAGGCTTTTAGCCAGATCTGTGTTGAGAATTAGGAGCTGAATCCTTTAAAACATGAGTTTGGCCAGAAAGAAAGGTCTAATAAAATTGCAGCATGCAAAGATGGGAGAGAGGAGAATTTGGTTAATGAAAAGACTAGCAAGAAAAAGCAAAGTATTTTAGAATAGGACAATAAAAAAGATGACCTGAGGACATTACAAGAACCAGCAGGGGGGCTGGTGAGATGGCTCAGTGGTCTAAAGCACCTATTAGAACAAACTATAAAAGCACAGGGACCACGGTTCAATCCCCCAGCACCACATGCCAGCCAGCCCCACTCCCTGGTGGGCTGAGCTGGCCACACACACACACACACACACACACACACACACACGCAAAATAAGAACCAGCAGGACTCCATTGGAGCCCCAAGATTACAAAACTAAAAGACTGCTTTATGAAGACAGCCCCAGAGCAGCATGTTCCACATTTGTAGGGAAGTTGTTCTTTGGGATTTTGTTCAAAGGCAGTTGACCATATAACCTGAGAGAAAGAATCCTGAGTGCTGCTTCAGCTGGCATCAGACCTTAGTGTCTGCCATACATGTAGTATTGGTTGCAAGAGCTGTGGGGTCAGAAGGCTTCCTCCTCCTCCCTAGGAGGCCAGGTGTTGTGCCCCTGAGAGGGCAGTATGTGAAGGTATGACTGTGAGGCTTAAGGTGCAGTGAAAAACCTAGAAGGCTGGAGAAGTCAAGCACGGATCATCTGAAGAAAAACTGCAAGCTGGTAGCAGAGCAGGCCCAAGAGAGAAGCCTGGAGAGCTACAACTACCAGAAGTGTTACAGGGGTGGAGCCACCCACTTTAGAGTTCACATCTTGCCAC